TTTCAGATAACTTTATTTTTGGAGAATCACAAAAATTTCTTATGGCTGCCTGCACTATGCTAATTTGTTTTATTCATTATAATAATTTATTTTTATGACTTTTTGATGTTATTGTATGTTAACTTATATTCATGATATATATTCATATTCATATATGATTGATTGATTTTCTTTTAACCCTTTTACTTCCCGACATTTGTAAGAATAAAGCTCTCCTCTGAATGGTATTGTACTCTTTACTTAATTTTGTCTGCGGAGAAAGTTGTATGTTATCATTAATGGAAGAGAAAAAATATAATAAACTTAGATGCTTTTTTAAAGCTTTTGACATAATTTCTTCCTCTACCGATGGTTTTATGGCACAGTTAAAATATCTAGGTATGTAACAGAAAAGGACTTTTAGTTTATGGTCACAATGATTTACAAATATATTTGTAATATGTAGCCAGGTATAGTATGATTTTAGTATATATATATACACAGTCACACACATAATGGAATTTTTCAAAGACAATGAAACAAATAAGATTGAATAAAACTTATTCTAATTTAGATCTACCTTAACAATTTACAGTAGACTTAAAACAGAACATTAGTGTTTCATCAACTGACACCAAAATAAATTCCAGTTCCAAAAACAAGTATTATGACAAGTTAGGTATAGCTTATGGACTTCAACAGTATACTTCAATATTACAGGTTGCAGAAAATCATAAAAGAATTTTAACCAAACAACTCATGTAACAACTTACGGGTATACACATATTTAAGAAACAAAAAATGTTAACTGCTGCAAGTAAGCAAACTATAGGTTTGTAACTTAGTTTTTGAACAAAGGTGGCTGTTGGGATCACTAAAATACTGATTCAGTGAAAATGATCACTTTGTATAAGTTTTCCACTAGCATTTGGAGTTCCATTGAAGTTGGTAAGACCAAAGATAGAGACTAGATTACAGAAAGTCAATTAACACATTTTTTGAAATCAGTAGCAGCTTAGCAGCCTCATATGGAACCTATAACTTAATATCACTTACTTGTTTTTAAGTGGTACAAAGTTTACAAAAATTATAGATACTGAGAAATGATTTGTAACAATAGCAGGAAACAGCACTATTCAATCCTCCATATTGAGAAGTAAGCACAAAGTGGAACTTGAAATGCTCATCTCATTTAGTTCGAGTGCATCAGTTAAAAAATGATCAAATAACACACTTCAAATTATGATGTGCTCTATATAACAGTGACAGAGATGTAATATTAGCATGCTTTATGTTAATGCACATTTGTGATAAACAATTAAATAACTTTGCAGAAATTTCATTAATTGCAGTAAGTTACAGACAACAAATATAATCAGTTGAGAGGAAAAAGGCAACTAAGTACCTTCACATGAAAATCACACCCACACACCATGTGGGTTTTTATTAGTTGGAACAGCATTCTCTAACTGTCTTGGAGAGCCAATAATTTTTCGAGTGCTTCCTGGCCTGTTATGAAAGTTACCTGCAAATATGATTAACAAATAATTTAGTTTAACAGAAAGGTAGTGTAGAAATACATACAAAGACAGATAAAAATGTATTAACAAGATCAAAATAGATACAATTATAAATAACATGCATGCAAACAAAATACTTTCTGAAAACTTGTATGCTGGAGGCTTCAAACTTGAAATGAAAGTTACATTTGTGGTGAAATTATAAATGCTTAAAAAACAAATTATAGAAAGTACTGACAAGTACTCTTGGAAAGTTGGTTTGGAATTTATATAGTAAAATTAAACAGATATGGTAATGAGACAACATATGTAAAATGTGACATAAAATGAAGTGAGAGCTATAACATTCACATTTTGAAGTAAAATAAGTAACTGGAAAATATTCTAATGAAACAATTACCCTTTAAAATATTAAAAAATAGCATGAAGTTTAAAAATTTTCTTTTTTTTACGTTATTTCTCATAAGCCTTTATTCAATTAAAACTAAACCAAAAACTCAACGTCCTAGAATTTGTATTTCTAAATGTGGTATAATTATGTTGCTTATCTACACAGCAAATGTATTTAAGCTACAAATAATTCCTATTTTCTCAAAGGTTACACCTGACATATGAAATCTATAACTTTAATTAGAGTACCTTCCATAAAATGTTTCATCTCATCAGCTGCTATCATTGAAAGGGATTTCAAGTTTTCCTCTCGCAGTTCCTGGGTAAGTTTTTCAATCAATTTTTCACTTTCTGAAAGCAAAGTGTCCATTTCATTCATCTTCTTTTCAAGTTTTTCTGTACACTCTTTCTAAAAAGAAGAAAAAAGAAATAATTTTAATATAATAAGAGAAATAAAATTTCATTAACTTAAAATAGTTCTAGCTTTGTATACAGTTATTAATCACACGATCTTAAAATGTAGCTTACTGTCCCTGTATATGCCAGCAACTGTATCTTTGAATTATAATTTGTAACTGACTGTCAGTTTTATAATGCACCAACAGATAGAAGTATCGAGTGTGTCAGTAGCATCACGGCTGAAATTTGCAACTCTCTGATCCTCAGCCCGACACACTAACTACTAGACCATGCCCAACTCATGTCTTAAACAGATATCTTACTTACTCATTTAAAGTTTAGGTCTTATTACTACAATCAATTTTACACACATTTTGCTTTTTCCTACTTGTGAGAATTCTGAGGCTTATTTATGAGCACAGTATAATGCAGTACATTGCAATCCCTTCAAATTTCATTTAACTTATGTAAAATTAATTGGTAACCAAAATAAATATATCAGATGGAAAAAAATTTAAAAGCAAAAACCATTTGACACTGACAAATAATGTATTATTTCAAAAGAGCTTTAAAATGTTCTTAACAAAGTGCTTGTACATATTTTAATTATAATAAACACTACTGGAAACATATGCACATTGCCTTACTCAAACTTTCTTTAAAAGACCAACAGAAAAATAATTAATTAATACATAGTATATGCTACACTTACTGACCTTATACCATTTAGTTACACATATGAATGAATACAGAAATGAAATTTTTTCCAATAACTTTATATATGTTTGTGTATTACCAACTATACTAGATGTACTTTCGAAGTATCCCCGAAAAAGTTCTGTTGGAAGAGTAAATAAAACCAAAATTAAGAGTAACAAATAGTTTTATTTCTTGCTTTTGAAGTTCATATGTCAATCTGTGTTATAGCCTACGGAGTGCATTATGTTTCTTGTGATTAATGGCATGCACATTTTACTGACATCATGACTGTACAAATTACAACATTAAGCGTCACTTATGTGATGTCATTTTAGCATCTACTGACTGACAGACAACACACTACTATATAGTGGTGTAAGTGGTTAAAATAGGTGAGAAATCAAACTCGTGAACTTCTAAAACCTTCACGGCAAGTTATTACAGCACCTATTTTTTGTTTGACTCATTCTTGTTTTACATAAAAATGCAATGTATAATTAATAAGTAGAACAGTATCAAATATTACCTGTATATCATACTCTTCCATTTGACTCATCATTTTTTGATTCAAAATTTCAAGCTCTTCCTGAATCTGCTGTTCTTGTTCTTTTTGTTGTTGCTTGACTTGTTCCTCAAGCAACATTCTCCTGCGTCGCTCATTAGCAATTTCCTCTAGAACTTGCCGAACACGTTGCCGACATTGTAAAAGCTCAGTTTCACAATTTGCCAACTGAGAACGAGCTAGTGTGAGCTCTGAACGGAGAGTACGCTCCTCCTGACGGCAAACATCAACCTCTTCTGCAAGAGGGCGCCGATCTAACTGGTCTAGTTCTTCATTATACTCCTGTTCTGTCCTTTCTAATTGGCGAACTTCTTCCTCAAGAGAAGCCAAACGTTCCTCCTGTTCTTGCAGCTTCCCCTCCCAGTATACTATTTCTAATGAGAATTATGGTGCATAAAATAAACTTAAAAAACATTTCATAATTCTGATATCCATTTATATATAAACATAATAAATATAACCTAAGGACTTTTATTAACAGTACAAGATGAAAATGTCCAAAAGTAAATTTTCAAACAAACAAAAATATGCTTTTAATTTGTATTATAATATTAAATAACCAGTTCTTAAAATTCCTTCATAAACTTCTAATGTCAATTGTCTTGAAACTCACCATTATTTTAACATAAGATTGTTAAATGAATCATATTATTGAAAGGCTTTAAAATTTTCTAAGTTGACCTCTATCACTTCTATCATGGAGCTGTTAAATATATTATGTTTTGAAACATGTCTATATAGAATTTATTCAGTTTATTAATGAATAGTATGATACATTTACAGTTGAGACAATACTTAAATTCAAGACGTTACTTTTGGCCTATATAAGCTAAAATGTTGGCCCTAGTGTTCCCATGTCCACTTACATAAAATAGAATTGGGCTTGTTTGTTCACAAATTGCTTTAATTTTTTGAGAGCTGTAGGTTGCAGTTTTTTTTGGTCTGGTTTTATTCTGAGGTCACTTATTTGTTTTTTTTTATAACAGCTGACTTATAACATACAGTTAAACAGTTGTAGGAGTGGTTTCAGTGATTGATTGGGTTATTTAACAGCCCACATCACTAAAATTTTAGAAATATCATATCGCCGCTCCTGTTCAATTAAAAATACACCCACAACCATGAACTTTCGAGCCAACCCACTTGACACTTTCTATATAACAATGAAGCCATGCAAATTGCCATTTTGAAGGTAAGCCATAAAGAGCAGTTTTGAAAGTCAGTTTTGCTTGTTTTTCTTACAAGACTTGGCAATACTGGTTGGCCCGTACTTAATGGCTAAATATCCCCAAGCTGTGCAACACTTAAACAGATAAAAAAGTTCAGTACAATGTAAATACGAGTAGCACGTGAAAGTAAACTTGGCAACACTGGTTGGCCCGTACTCAACAGCTAAACATCCCCAAGCTGTCCAACACCTAAACAGATAAAAAAGTTCAGTACAATGTAAATACGAGTAGCACGTGAAAGTAAACTTGGCAACATTGGTTGGCCCGTACTCAACAGCTAAACATCCCCAAGCTGTGGAACACCTAAACAGATAAAAAAGTTCAGTACAATGTAAATATGAGTAGTATATGAAAGTAAACTTAAATTCCTAGCAGTTAATGAACAAAATATTTGTTGCTTGCTATTTTTTTCCAAACTGATACATCATTTCACTTTATAATTCTCACAGCCAAATCTTTCACAGAGCTTTAAACTCTTGGGTAACAAGTGAAAGAAGTTGTGTACTGCTTGAACAATGCTTGCCTTAAAATGTGTAGAATACAACAAGCTTCTCATTTTTCCAAAAACAAGGGCTAAAAATGTGTTAATTTAACAAGATTTGCAAGTAAGTAATGCCCAAGAATTAATCTTTACAATTTCCCATGCTAAGTCTTAACATTAATAACTTTGTTTTACACAGATTTAATATAAAACATTTGTGTTAAAACTAAAAAAAATAAATTAGCTGAACTTGTTTTATCAATCAGAATGAAAATCTGCATCTAATTTCATTCACAATAATATTAAAAGTGTTTTCACTTGACTAATGCACTCAAATCACAAAATGTACATTTAGAAGTGCAGTCTTAACCTGTGCTTTCAAAAATACATGTTAGCAAAAAAAAATGTTATATTCATGTTACTTTAACTCTGTACAAGATACTGGCGAGACCTCACTTTGAGTACCTTACACAGTCTTGATTCCCTTACAAAAGGAAGTAACTCAACTTATTAAATATATTGTTTAGACAGGCCACTCGAAGGACAAGTAATATGAAGTCATTTAAGCTCAGAATGATGAATTGTTTAGCTCTTATTTTCTCCGGTTCACTGAATAACTAAGAGGGTAGGCTTAGTTTTTCAACATTATTGGGGGTTTGGATACTTTTCTTAGTTTAAGCTATCAAAACCTAGATGTCAGCTTATTCATTGAAAGAAGTCCTTTTCCAGTTAAAGTTATGAAATTGTGGAATGGCTTACATGATGATGTTGTATATGTAGTTAGCTTGAATTATCTTACATTTTTTCGCATAAGAACATTTTTTTGTACAGCTTTTTAAATGTACTGATCCTCTCAAGAATAATTTTTCAACTTCATCCATTTTCATTAGTTTGTTCTTTTTACTGAAATGTATATTTCAAGTCAAATAAATTTCAGTAAAAAAAAACAAAAAATTTATTTTAGAAATATTTTAACACAAGAAAAATTAAATTCGTATAGATTTTAAGCACAAAACTGCACATTGTACTAGTTGTACTGTGTGTACTACAGGATCCAAACCCTTAATTTTGGTGCCATCAGCTAACAAGCTTAATATATAATTTCTATAAATAGTCACTTTATGAGGATTGTTTTTTTAATCACTTGAAATAAAATGTGAACCTACCAATTTACTTATATGAAACCAAAAATTATATTTTCGTCAACTCTTACACAGAATATAAAATTTTATTTACTGGACTTAAATCTCACAAATAAGTTATAAGATATATATACAACTCAGTATAATAGTATTTTATTTATTAATAATCTAGGGTATATAGAAAATAATGGTGGTTGTGGTATTTTATATAAGTCACTACACAGCTCATCAAGTAGGATGTTTTAGACATTTTTTGACTGAGCTTTGAGTAACATATTTTGATTACAAATAAATAAATATTTAGAGGTATGTGAAAACATACTGCCATTTTACCTGCATCATATTGGTTTATTTCTGCCTGCTGGTTGCTAAGTTTCTCTCTTTGAAGGCTGACCAGTCTCACTAAATCATGAAACTGAGGATCATGAGAGATTTCTTCCTGAATCCCAACTGCTTTTCTCGTTTTTATAGTCTGACTAGTCCTTTCAAATAAAGCTGTCTTGTTCAGCTGACTTTCGGCATCAGAAGTGAAACTATCAGTTTGGTCAAAATGGTTTATCAGGTTCTTTTTTACTCTTGATGCAGATATTTCTTCATAATGTTTATTGGCCTGTTGAGGCTTTTCTTGAGTTGGAGAAAAGGCTCTAACAGAAGCCACAGGTTGACCTTCCTTGCTGATTCTGCCATCCCATCTAGAATCCTGAGGTTCTTTGGAGTTTGCCATATCACATGACATGCTGTCATCTTTTTTAAATTTAGATGCCTCAATCTGTTGATGGGGCGACAGACACCTTTGGGCATTTCTTGCATTTTCTTCAATCCTGTTGGTGGCAACATGACGTCGCTTGCTAGAAGGAGATTCACTAACATGGGGATAAGAGTCAAGACCTGTTGGTGAAAATTGACTAGTGGGAAAACGAACATTTGATCGATGAATTGCTTCATCATAAGGTGGTGGATGTTGAGGTCTTTCTGCTTTTGGTCCACTTGGAGAACTATGTGAATCAGAATCACTGAATTGTTCTCTTGGTTTTTGGGGAACACCACGAACAACACCTCTTGGCACATCCTGTCGTGACAGAATATCATGAGAATGCAAGTCATGTGATACTGAGTCAAACTTTGATGGAGTACTTGTGCTACTTGTGTTTGGGGTGGTATTTGAGCTACTTCCACTGCTACCATGGCTGCCACTGAAAGTCAGGGATTTCTTTATTTCCTTATTCTGTGCTGATGATGATTTCTGATTTTGAACTGGAAGATTAGCTGAAGGTGGAGGAAAATTCTGAAAAAATTCATGCTGTCGTTTATTGTTTTGGTGGCTGTGACTTACTGGAGCACCATGAGCCTTAGAACTAGGTTGTGAACGACGAAGAATAAACTGAACATCATTGGCATGTTCTCCCCATTTCAGGAGAACCTTTAAAGGATTATCCTGAGGGGCAAGAAGTCTTTCACTATTTCTCCATTTTTCAACTAGAGTGAATCTTCCTGTTTGGCCAGTAGCATGAGCAAGGGCAAAAACAACATCTTGACAAGTGGTGTTCTCTGTTACTCCACATACAACCCTTTGTATTCCTTCAACCCACACTTTAAGTTCCATGTTGTACTTTACTTCATTGTTTAATATTACATAAATGTTTTACTCATAATATATGCTTTCCTACACCCTTGTAATGAATATCAGAAGAACTTCAAATTTCTATTCAAAACATTCACCTGATGTATTTGTCAATATTTGATTTTAAATTATGTTGTTAAATCATTGTATGCTGTTTATGTTTTAGGATAATACATAATTTTAGTTTCCAAATTTTTTTATCATTAAGATAATTTATGATGTTCCCTTTTTCTTTTCTTTTTTCAGGTAAAGGGGATTTGAGTCATGATGGAGTAATAAAGTGGAGTTTTTAAAGAAACCTATTTTATATTCTGAATGGTTCTGCAATGACCTAGGTTTCAAAAATTTGTATAACATTATTATAATGCAAGTAATAGCTACACTTTTATTACAATGAAATGTAGAAAAAGCATCTACAATGCCTACAGTATTACCTAATTTTATACGTTTATAAACTAAAAATTGCACAATGCATTTTGGTCATTTTCAGTGGGATTTATTCAAGCCACAAAAGCTAAGTACATTTCACATTAAGGTGTTGTTATCAGATATACATTTTTTAATTTCTATATGGTATACTGGATATAAAAGACATTTTAATTCTCATAATAAATGAGCTTACAGCACCAAATGAAGATCTGAACTGTTGGTTATAGTTTATGTTGCAGTGAATGCTCCTGGAGAAGCTGTAAAGTAAAATATTAAGTGTTCAAATAAAAACCAAATTTCCTGTTATAATGTGATCTATTACTAGAATTAAAAGGTATATATTTTTCCTTTACCTAATCAAACTGGATCAGTAATCATAATGTTAGTTTTCAGTGATTTAGTTGGAATAGATTACCATAAGCTTATTCTACCAATTAGACTGATCCTTTTCAGCTAGCTTAACATCTGATTGAAAAGAAGAATACTTTATTCAACTGATAGCTCACTAGTAAAACAACTTACATTTACTCTTCTGAATAAATCACTGTGTCATATGATTTCCATGTATGAAAATAGGCTAAAACATATGCTTGTTTTACTTGACTTCTGGCAAAATTACTTCTCTGTTAGTATTACAAACTGGTAAAATCGTTTGCTATGATGCAAGTAGAGAGCTGGGCCTTTAATGATCAATTAATTGTAGGGGCTCATTAATCAATCACATTGAACTAATGAATTATGTAGAAATTTTATGAACATTTAGAATTTTCTTAGGGTAGTTTTTTCCAACATCTGCATCAGAAACTTCAATAAATAAAGTAATAGATATTTAATTTCTTAGCTGTTTTTACCTCAAATCCTACTCTTTAGTATTGGTTACCATTGCATACTTCATTCATATTAAAAGGGTGATATGAAACTATGGGTATTCATTTTTGAGATATACTGATGATCAAGCTGAAGAAGAGGATTCAGTAGAACATCTGGCTTGAAACAGAATGTGCATAACATATAGCTACCAAACACTAATTAAACAGATATATAAACTGAAACATATGCAACAAACACGCTTTACATAATTCAGTTTCTAAATAACTGATAAGATTTAGAAGTATTGTTTGGAGATATAATTGATGACAGTTGAATTGTCAGAATGAACCATAACCACCCACTCTCATAAGAGTGGAAGGAAATGAGTAAGAGCCCGACAAACTGCCAACAGCTCCTAGTGGTTGACATGGTAAGTAGATTCCTTGATGGACCACCGACCCGAAATCTCCCGAGAGTTGAGGGAAGCCCCTAATCCACCAAAGAAGCATCTGTGAACATATGCAAGTTGGGATGAGGCGTATGAAGTGGAACCCCCTGTCGAGTCACCAAACAAGGTCAGCCTTGATCCGTGTGGGAAGGGTAATAGGATGATCCAAGGGATAGTGGGAGAAATTCCACTGAAGGGTATGCATGTGTGCTTGACCCAAGGGAATGAGAGCTTCCAGGGCCCCATGTCCCCAAAAGATCTCTCTTGCAGGAAGAGAAGGTGAAGACAGAGCCTGAGTGACTGCTTGTTTCATATCCAGGAACTGAAGTGGAGAAGGCTGGGCCCAACCGAGATAGGAATTGAAGAGGACCCCCATATGAATGAGATATTGAGTGGGAGTGAGAAAGGACCTCTCCACCTTGATGAGAAACTCCACCTGAGCATACTCCCAAAGATGGAAGCAGGTGTGATTGGCAGATTGGGCCCAGGAAGAGGTGAGCAGGAGCCAGTCTTCAATGTAATGATAAGCTTGAAGACCCAATGAATGAAGATAACATGCAAAGGCAAGGACAGCCCAACAGAACACATAAGGAGCCTCGCAAGACCAAACAGTAGTGCATGGAACTGGAACACATTCTCTCCATGGTAGAACTGGAGATAACGACGTGACTCCTGAGCAATGGGGACATGAAAGTAAGCATCGGTCAAGTAAATTTTGGTCATCCAAAGACCCAGGGAAAAAACTCACTGAAGAGAGAGGTAGGATGACTTCGGGGTGAACCAGGGTGTGTCCAGAAAGGAATTCAATTGGGATAGATCAATAATAGGTCTCCAATCTCACATCTTTTTGGGGACAACAAAAAGATGGGAGCAAAAACCTGAACAAACAGGTAACACACGTTCTACAGCACCTTTGTGAAGAAGATCGAGAACTGACTCCACTAGATAATTGAACAAGACACAATTCTGAGGTGGAAGAAAAGAAACTGGGGAAGAGGACAGGGGAGGAAGAGACCTGAATTGAATGCACAGACCCCTGACTGAACCCGTAACACCCAAGGATGCATCGTGAAAGGTTTCCAGATGGCGGAAAAGAGCTGTACCCTGGCTCCACCTGCTCATGGAAAGACATGTTGTCACTAATAATGGTGAGGTGGAGAGGAACAGGAATGGGAAGAACGGACATAAGGAAGGGAACACCACGAGTAGGGAAAGGGCAGGGCGAAGAAGAAAGAGCATGGGGCAGCCAAACAGGTAAAGATTGAGCAGAATCAGTAGGGTGAGACAAACAAGAATGTAATCTTGCCACTTTAACCCAGGACTCCAAAGTCTCATGAAGACTCCAAAAGACTATTTCACAAAGAAACAGGGCCTGATAAAGTTCCTGTAACGACGAAAGGGGGAGATGCACCCCGTAAGTAATGCATCCCTCCCGAGTAAATCCCAACAACACAAAAACGGGACCATAATAGACCACAGGAGGGTCTGGAAAGCATCTCAGAATTGATCATAGAACTGGTGGAAGGCCTGAGACAACAACTGTAAAGAGAAAAGAACACGTAAAAGTTTGGTTAATGTAATGCGAATTGTAGTACACAGAGACCTATTAAAACGAACCAAGGCATCAAGATTACAACCCCACAAAGGAAGGAGAGGATCTAAACGCTGAGAATCCAAATAGGGAATCGAGGCAAGTTGGTAAGCAAAAGATAATTGGTCCAAAAGCTGAAGTGGACGAGGCATACCCACTTTTGATTGTACTTGAGCAGCATGGACAAGAATGTTGGGAGAAGGAGAAAAAAAAATAATTGGAACAAGGCTCTTCTCTCAACAAGGAAGTAGTAGAAAAGTCAAGGGCTAAAGGGGAGACATATAAAACTTGACAAACCTGATCAATAAGGTGTAGTTGGCAGACTCTCCTGATGGTCAGCATTATGTTATTGGTAGAAAAAATTAGGTCGAAATTATCCTCCCCCTGATGAAAAACTTCTTCAAAAGTGTGGTTCTGGGGGAAGGGAGAACAAGCAGAAGCAAAAGCATCCACCACCTGCTGACGTAACGCCCAAATCTCCTTGACCGATATCGGTAACTCGCTGCACTAGGGACTAGTGACACAAGTTTCATTCATATTGGTGGGAACTTCTTCATCTGTCACATGAAAATTTGAATTCATAAGTTTACGTGGACTTGCGAGAAAAAAAATAGTAAAGAAACTTCTAAATGAAAAAGTAATTCCAACTAAAATTTAAAACTAGCAAGAAACACTCAAAACATAGCAAAATTTGCTTGAAGAACAACTGAAAACACACGTCTAAGCACACTCTAATGCCAACTGAGAAAATGAGGATTGTGTTGCAATGGTAGAGGGAGCTACCGACACTAGTATACAGGGTGCAATGGGATTGGTAGAGGTGGTCACATGTTGCTGCAATGACACAAAAAATTAAGGGTATAACAGACTGGTGTACTGTTCATAAGATTTACCAATGCCCAGAGAGAAAATGAAGGTCAAGATAGCTATGGGTGAGAAGAGGTAGTTCCATTTCAGAACTATATTTATAGCACTGATGAATATTCATGGTCACTACACAAGTGTGCAAACAGTTCCAAACATGAGGTCAGCATTTGTTAAAATAAGTGAGCAATATAACTGATGCCTTTGGATTAAATTTCAACAAAAATCATACATAAGTACTGACTTGTTACTGTCTAAATATTTGCTAATAAACAAGACACTGATATAAATGATTGCAGGGTATGTGATAAAGAATAAGTATTAATCAATACATGATTCAGGGTGACCTCATTTTGACAGCTATCTAATTGAAGTTAAAAGGTCGTTGAGCTATGTATAGTTATATTTACATGATGGAAAATGTGCAACAAATGTTAACTAAATATTCTGATACAACTCCTAAAAGATGGGATACAAATTTTTAGCAAGTGCTTCCACTTATGCTGACAACAAATCATTTCATAAGTCATTCACTCTGTTGGAAAAATAAAACAGTCATAACTGGAGCCTCATTAGTTCTTTACAAGCATTAAAGGTATTTAATAAATACATTATTTTATTTCATTGGCTACAGTTTGAGCAAATGTTTTTTTTTAACAAGCCAAGAACAAACTTGTTTTTACTGTGAGTGTGTGCATATATATATATATATTGTTTTGTAAGTCTTAAGTATTATTAAAACTTTACTGGGCTCCTACTGTATACAAAAGAAATATAACATTATAGTTGCATTAACTTAAATACACTTGTTGCTGTGTGTATAACTGAGGGTTTGTAAATTTAAGGGTTATGTATTCAATTTTGGTTTGAGGTTTAGAAGTATGCATTTTTAAACATGTCTGTGTATGTGCTGGATTTCTGCAGCTGAGAATTTTTAGGAACTTGCATAGCT